TTATTAATCAGGCTTCTCTTTGCCAGGTGGTTTAATATTTTCTGAAAAAATGGTTTTATCTGTTTTGTAACAGTTCTTCTGTCAAGCATTGCTTAAGAGCATAACAACAGTGCTTGCCAAAGTTCACCTGCATCATTTGAAGGAGGAATGGAAAGGTCAGATACAGATCAGCAAAAGTCCTTTTACTGTATTCATTTAAGATACCTGGGCTTAGTCACAGAATAACACCTCTATACTAGTAATTTTCTTTAGGGTAAGAGCTATTCAGGCCAGTACCTCTCAGAGAGCAGTTAGCCTAAAATAACAAGGTCCTGCATTGTAATATATTTCAACAGTTTTTGGCCAGCTCAATTTTTTTATGCCAACTCTGCAGTACTCAGCTATGTTCAAGAGGTGCCTTATGTCTCAGGTGTCCTACTGAGTTGTGAAATGAACCTTCATCACACTAAGTTACAGAGCTGGGTGGTTTATTTTCTAGGTTTACACTACATCTAGTGTGTTCCTCATGCCACAGAACTTACTACTAGCCAGTTAAACCGTAGTACACCTCAAACAAAACCAGAAGTGCAAGAAGTACCCTCACTTTTCTTATACGTGGTACTGCTTGAAAGACAATTGTATTTGAAATCAAGGTAATACCTATGACTATATTTACACATGACCTATGAACTTGATGCAACTCTCTCAGTGGCTGGATTTCTTGATGTTCTCCAATTTGTATTTGGCAGCTACAGTCTTAGAATTATTCCCCACATAAAACCAAGACAAAACAAAACAAGCAAAACTAAAACCAAAACAAACAAACAAACAAACAACAACATCAAAAACCCCCCAAAACCAAAAACAAACAAACAAAAAACACCTAACCAAAAAAACCTAGGTCCTTGACATTTTGAAGAGAAGGATATGTCCCATATGTCCCAACACTTCCACCTTGGAACTTAACACAGCCAACACTGGTAAGAGATACTGTCCCATTGTATTTTTGCTTATTTCTGAGCTTTTCTTGCTACAGAAAAGCCTGAAAATGGTCAAATTCTACTGCTACTGTGACTGACCAAGAGAGGCTCATAAACAAGTCTTTCTTTTCTACAAAGAAGACAGCATAAGAAGAACCAAATCATTACACCTGCTGTTCTTGTAATTTCAAGAAGAAAAATATGATAAAGTAATCAATGGAAGTCTGCAAGTTGTTTGCAGGGTTTTTTCCATCTAGCTAATATGTTAGCAACACGAGCTTTGAAACTTGTCTGTTGCTGTAAAGTTTTGTTAATGCTGAAGTCTCAAGATATCAAGAAAATCAGAACTTTTCACAACTTCTGCTTAAGACTTGGCCATAATTAAAAGATGTAAACATATATAAGGGATTTACATTTGCAAATCCCCAAGGAAGTGCCCAAAAGACTGTTTACTTCTTGCTAAACAGGTGGTACTGCTGCACTTCAGAACCAGCAGTAACTGAGCAACGGGTCAAGCAGCCATTGTACAGTCAGTACCTTCCCAGCTCATTGTTATGCTTCTGTGATGAAAGCTAAATGCCTTGTATCTTTATAGAAAGATGATGGAACATTTGAGATATTAATACTCTTTCTTTTCATGACATTGTTTTGCTTTGTTAAGGAGGGTACAAGGGGAAGGAATGGCTGTTTTTTTCAATTGAGTGCTTCTGCCCAAGTACTTTAAGAACAGAGTGTATGGCTGAGCACCAGAAACTGTGGGTCCTCTCCCAAATCAACCTGTAACAAGTCCACTTGAGATCTTTGTCAGGCAACCTGTAGATAATTGTTTACCAGGCTTTCAAGATCAAAAGAAACACACCTACCCACCAAAATTGCTGACTGGTTACTCATAAACAGTGTCAGTGGGATGGGACCAACACCTCTCAATGCTCTGAACAATTCATAACTTTTCATTAAGGAAAGAAGAAGAAAAGAAAAAACCAAAAAATTATCTTTTGTAACACTTACCTCACACCAAATGAATACAGATAAATACTTTGAAAGTAAGGTTTAGATAAGCCATGTATTTTAAGTGACATTTGATCATTTTTTCTTTGGTTGGCTTTTATTTTTTATTTGAACTGAATAGGGTTGAAATTATTACAGGTTGATTTATTTTAAGGCTAGTTTCATACTATCGTGTGGATGAGTTTTAAAACACTGTACAAAAAGTAGGATCAAATGTAAAGTGCAATACTTGATTGTGTAAACAACTAAAGAGCAGTTTAGAACACAAAATGAAGGCACACCAAGCAACATGGTGTCTTTTGAAACCAAGACACATAGTTTGAGTGTTTTGAGCAGTTACAGAACAGATATATATACATTTTATTATATAACAGTGCTAACAGTTAGTATATTGGTTTTGTCTTCTAATTCACTTAGATGAGATTTTGTGGTGTTTTAACCCCAGATGGCAACTAAGCCCCAGGCAGCTGCTCATTCACTCAATCACCCAGAGGATGGGGAAGGAATCTGAGGAGTGAAATTGAAATAACACATGAATTTGACACTTTATTAGGTAAAGTAAAAGGTGCACACATGAGCAAAGCAAAACAAGGAATTAAGTCATCATTTCCCATGGGTAGGCAGGTGTAAAGCCATCCCCAGGAGAGCAGGGCCCATCATGTGCAGTGACTACTTAGGAGGACAAACACCATCACTCCAAATGTCCCCTGTGCCTTCCTCCTTCTTTCCCCAAGTGTGATGCCATATGGTATGGAATATCCAATATTGCTAATGCATGCAACCAAGCACTACAGCAGCTAAAACCAAGTGGTATTTCTAGACACTCTTTCCATATCAAAATAAATTATATTATTCTTCTCTTTTGAGCTTTTATGGAAATAAATATTGTTATCGTGTACTACTGCAGGAACATGTTTCCACACTTTTCCACTTATAATCTGTCAAGTACAATATACTATTTTGCCTGTATGATAGTTCTGTAATAACCCAACCCTGTTGTAGTCAATATTTTAGTGCAATGTACAAAATTACGCCAGGACTGGCAGTAAGAATGGCAGCTCTAACTCAACTAAAAAAAAAAAAAAAAAAAAAAAAAAAAATTACAGATCCTAATTCTTTTAAGAATGAAAATATTTCTACTATATAATTGAAATAATTGTTAAATAACTTCAAAAACCTCAGACACCTAACAAACTCATAATTTGTAAAAAGAAGTGAAGCTATCAAAAATAATCACAATTCTGAACCACAGAATCATTTAGGTAGGAAAAGACTGAATATGGCACTTAGTGCCATGGGCTAGTTGACAAGGTGATGTTAAGTCATAGGTTGGGCTTGATGATCTCAAAAGTCTTTTCCAACCTAGTTAATGCTGTGATTCTGTGAACAGACATCCAAGTTCAAATCCAATCTTTGACCAATCACCACTGTATCACTACGGCACAGAGTGCCACATCCAGTCATTTCTTGAACAATTTCAGGGATGATGACTTTATCACTTTCCTGGCCAGTCACTCCCAATGCTTGACAATCCTTTGTGTGAAGAAATTCTTCCTGATGTACCACCTGAACCTTCCCTGGAGCAGTTTGAGGCTGTTTCCTCTCATCCTGTATCTTGTTGCCTGGAAGAAGATACCAACCCCCACCTGGCTGCACACTCCTTTCAGTTGTAGAGAGTGGGAAGGTCCCCCCTGAGCTTTCTTTTCTTCAGTCTTCTCTCTCACACCCAGCTCCCTCAGCTGTTCCACAGCTCTGTTTCCCTTCCCTAGACTCACTCTAGCACCTCAATGCCTTGTAGTGAAGAGCCCAGAGCTGGACACAGGATTCCAAGTGTGGCCTCACCTATTCTGAGTACAGGGGGCCAATCCCTGCCCTGGCCCTGCTGGCCACAGCATTGCTGATCCAGGCCAGGATGCCATTGGCCTTCTTGGCCACCTGGGCACAGCCTGGCTCATGTTCAGCTGCTGTCACCAGCACCCCCAGGGCCTTTCCAGCCACTCTGCCCCAGCCTGTGGAGCTGCCTGGGGTTGTTGTGACCCAAGGGCAGGATCCAGCACTGGGCCTTGTGGAACCCACAACATTACAATACCGATCAGAAAGTTCAAACCATCTGAAATACATGCAGTTTAAATAACTAGAAAGTTGGGAAATATATTTGTTTATAACAGCATGTAATGTAATAATATATAGTAAACAACTATTGAGAACCAAGTTATGACTCTAAAAAAACTTTTTTTTCCAATTCTTCCTATTTTGTTTTCAATTCTCAACTTAATTGTAAAAGTGTTTTGATTTTGTTCTCCTCTTAACAGGAGAAAAAAGAAATCATATTAAAAAAAGAAATCATGTTTTGTCTGAAGTATTGCACTCTGACTAGTAAAAAAAAATAAAAATCTATAAATCCAAGAAATACAAGACTTGTTTTACTCCAGCTATGCTTGAATTTTGTCCCAGTTGTTGATGATGCAGGCTCCTCATCTGAGTGAGTAAAACAGTAAACATGACTGCAGACAATTCTACAATTTTCTCAGCATTTGAACTAACAAACTGACAATGGGCCATGGGGGTGTTGGGGTTTTTTTCTGTGATTTCTCCCACTTATGTTTTCCTTAAGTTTTCCTAATATGTCTGATTTTTTAAATAATTAAGGAACATTTTATAACTTTGGAATTTCTTACTGATATTCTAACAAAATACTAGGATTACTTTGTGACATGATATCCTGCTTTCTTAGTAAAACAGAAAAGTAACCTAAGATGCAGCTAAGATCATGACACCGGTTTTGATTTTTGGTTTGGCTTTTGTTTTTTTTGTTTTTTGTTTTTTATTTATAAACTTTGGAAGGAGGCAACAATACAAATTTTAATTTCTAAAAGACTTTCAGGGAAGTTACTTACTCTGATATTAAAAAAAACCCAAACAACCCAACAAACCAAACAAACCTCATGGAAAAAAAAAATCCAGTGCAATGATCTCTTTGCAAGTGCTAAACTTAAGTGAAGACGTTGACAGGCAGGTTGCAGCAGTGCCTGCCTTAGCCACTGAGAGGGGGACCAAGTCTTCCAGGTACCCTACAGACACAGCCGCCGCCCGCTCCTCCAGGAGCATCTCCACAGCCCTACAGCAGCAAGGTGCATCAGCGTAGGTGTGCAGATCATAGTGGTTCGGTTCTCAGCCGAACACCCACGCCTAGAAGCAACAGTTCATTTTAACAGATACGGCGGGAAGAAAAAGGGATGAAGTAAATAAAGCTAGCACTAAGTACTCTCTGCCATCAGCCACAGAGCTCAAAACAAGCCCTTTCCCCGCTCTCTGGGTGTGCGTGGCCGATCCCAGCACAGGGCGCCCCGGAGCCGCACCAAGGCTGTGGTTCGGGGCGGAGAAAGGCGGAGAGAGCCCGAGGGGCCCGGCGGCTGCTGCTCCCCCCGGCGAGCTCCAGGCGAGGCGGCCCCCCCGCAGCAGTGCCAGCCCGGCCCGGCCCGGCCGCCGCAGCTGCGGTGAGTCAGTGGGCACTAGGGCACCGCTCCTGCCAGCTGCATCCCGCCCGCCGAGCATCCTCCGGCAGGGGAGGCGCTGGGTCCGCACACCGTCCTCCCTCTGCCGCGGCCGGCGGGGACCCGCACCGGGACCGCCGGAAATCCCTCCGGAGCGGCGACCTCTTACCTTGGCACTGGAGCTGCTGGTCTGGGTGTCCGCCTCGACGCTGCAGCAGTGGGGCGTCCTGGACCGGGCGGAGGCGCCGCCGGACTCCCTGCGCTCCTTGCGGCGGGGGCCGGCGGAGGGCGGCGGCTGCTGGCTCTGGTAGGCGAGGACGGAGGGGATGGAGTCGGCCGCGTCTGTCTTAACGAAGAGGCCGTGCAGGGTGGTGGTGCCCTGCGAGATCGTGGTGGTCTGGTGGGGGGAGTTGGACTCCTCCGAGTCCCGGCAGTATATCACACCGCTATGCGAGACGTGAATGCTGGGTGCGCAGCCCATCCCTTCCCTTCCCAGCCACCCCGCCCCGCTGCACCGCCGCTCTGCTCCGCTCGCACCTGCCGCCCGCCCGGGATGCGGGGCCGCCGCCCCTGCGCCGCGCACCCCGCGCCGCCGGCACCGGCGCCTCCCCCCGCCGGTGGCGCTGCCCCGGCCACTCCCGCCCCTGCGGCGCCTCCCCGTCACCCCGCCCGCTCCCCGCGCTGCCTCTGGGGTCCCCAGATCTGCTAAGCCCCTTCCCCTCTTCGGCAGCGTCTTACGGAGCGCCGGCGACCACCGAGCTGTGTTCACCTGGGGTGGGGGGAAGAGGAGGAGGATGAGGAGAAGCATGAGAAGGGTGAGGAGAAGAATGAGAAGAAGGGTGAGAAAAATGATATCGCTGGTGCAGCCCCCTCATGACCCAGGCAGAGAGTCTGTTTTCAAGCCTCCCGCAGGGACATTACACACATACACATACGAACATACGTCCCCAGCAATCCTGGTTGTGCTAAATACTTTTTTAAAAAGTTACAAATACTTATTTTGACAGTCAAAATGTGCCCTACTCTTGAGTGAGCAAATCTCAGTTGTTTGGGGGTACTCAAGGGAGCAGTTTAGAGCCACACAGCATCCACTGCAAGTCAGGGAAAAAAGGCTAGAATTGTTTCACAATTCTTAATGCTGCTTTTCAATTAAGCCAATATTCAGTGACACAAGTTGCCATTTTACCCTTGGTGTCTGATAGCTGCCAATCCCTGTTTCCAGTCCCTGGTGAGATAATCAAGAAAAATGTTTAATGCTACAGAGATTTACACACCTTCTTAGCTTTCCACAGTGAATAGTTTCATTGACCACAGTGAAACTATGTAGGAGGTGTAAAGCTAAACATGGAGGTTTTAAGTCTTTGCAAGATTTTAGTTTAAATCCCTTTGTTTTAAATGGCACATAATAAATTCTTCAAGAATTGGTAATGTCATCCAAGCAGTATGCTTACTGCCTAATAAAGCATTTGTCTGAAAACCGGCCATCAAGGAACACTTGTGTATATACCTTTTCTTCCTCTTGGAGTATTACCTGATGTTTGACCACTCTTTGTCCACCTAGCTTTAGTGAATGATGTAAAAATACTAGAAACATGAAGCATGGCTGGTGCAAGGATTGTGGTGATGTACAACAAAATGGTCTGAATATGTTGGTTTTGGTTCTTAATGCTTTTGAAGCACTTTCATGAATTAGATTTCAGTTTACTTATAAGTGATGATTTCACAGCTAAAATGCCTCAGTTTAGAGAGACTTTGAGCCTTAGCCTCTGCCTGTCTTGATGCAGTGCATGGATCATTGCAATTATGGCAAATAGACAGGCACTAGTCCATCAAGAAACTGGACTGAGGTCGTCAATTTGTTTGACAAAGTATTTTCAGTTTTCCAGTTACCACAGTGAGTCCGTGTCGGCCCTGGTAATCACAATTTTTTAGGTAACTGTCTTCCCCACTAGTTGTCCCTGTTCACAGGTCAAGTTGTGGTTTACATCCTGCACATGCTACATATTTGTGTGTCTGCCCACTGCCACAGTGCTCTGCTGGGGGCTATCTTTGAGGACAACCTTGGAGATAGGCTCAGTATAAGTAAATGAAGGAGACTGTGCTTTATCACTCAACCATGCAGCCTTTTTTGCTGCTTAGACTGCAGTTCTGCATGAGACCTCAATGCCTCCCAGAGCATAATGCACTTAGTTGCAGATGAATGTGTCCTAAAACCTCACTTAATAACAGGAGAAGCCAGTTTTATGCATTAATCACAATACTTTCAAGTCTCTCTTCCTTTCTATTAATGGTTGGGAAACTTAAATTGGGGATTTGAGCTGCCTGCCCTACAGTACAACTGAGATTTGGAAGAGAGCCAGGAGCTCAGGAATGCCACTCAGAACACATACACTTACAGGGTACATACAAAACCTATTGTTTTTGGGTAAGCGATGTTACCGAAAAGACCTCTAAGATTTGTTGACTATCTAGTTTGAGATGTTTTTCATGAGAATTTACCCAGGTATCAATGGCAAAAAACATATTTTAACTTTGCAGACTGAGCTTGGTGAAAATATTATGTCATATCCTAAACTGTGTTGCTAGCTATTCACAGTCCCTTCTTCTGAATTGATATCAATTATCAGATAAGTTATTTTGTTAGTCAGTCAGTCAGGTTTCCGTAACATCCCAGTATTTCAGTTTCTGCCTTGCTCCCTTTGAATTCAGTGAAAACTTTGCTGTTGGTTTCAGGCAGCATTGCAGGAATCTGCCCATTCTCACATGGATTTCCCTTGCTTAGGTATACATTTGAGTTGATGCCAGAAAATAAGCTGTAAGAATAGAAGTCTCAATTCTGGAGAAGCATTGCTAATGCAGCCCTCAAGCAGCAACCCCCATGCTGCTTACTTTAGGTTTATGGTGAAAGAGCACAACTAAAGAGGATAAGCCTCTCTGTGCAACATGCCAGAATGCTTGAGAGGAGTGAAGGCTGCTGCAGGATGGGGAACTATGTGGACTGCTGAAAAGCAACAGGAAACTGTGAAGAGTAACAATGGTTTGCCTGACAGCAGAATCAAAAAGTCCTAGAACCAAAGGATGGTTGAGTTTGAAAGGGCCATGAGGTCAAATCCCCCACACACCCAAGAAGGGTGTGTGGCTGGTTGCTTGGGATGGGTATATCTGGATGTAGTTTTTTGTGGGAACTCAGCACATCACTCCGGATGTCCAGAGTTACCGAGAGAACCCTTGGGGGTCTCGGAAATCCTGGAATGTTGCCAGGAGTGTTTGGTGGCTTGATTTTGATCCATCTACGGAAGTGACAGCAGTTTGAGGACGTGAGAATCACTTGGGAGTGAAGGGTGTAAAAAAGACACATTTATAGGGTGAAATATAGATTTTAGGGTTTTGGTACAGGGGGGTTATGGAGACAAGATGGAGGGATCAGGGCATGTCTCGTCCTTCTTCTTCTTCTTCTTGTCATCAATTTTCTGTGGTGATGTTGGCACTTGGGGATTGGTCCATGGTGAAAGTGCACTTGCTAATATGGGTGAAAGGTATTGGGAAATAAAGGTAAATATCATGTACATAGATTTTAGTATAAAAAAACATGACCGCCCCGTGGGTGGTCAGAGTGCCCTTGGCTGCCTTGCAGGTCAGACTCTGTTGAGCAGACAGAAAATTTTGTAGATAAGAAATAATAAACAATCTGAAGATCGAAAAACTGAAGAGTCCAGACTCGTCCTTTGAAACGTGGGCTACCCAAGAACCACCCTACCCGTGTCCAGGTAGAGACAGACAGCTGAACCGGACAGTTTTTAGTATCTCCAAGTATGAAGATGACAGCTCTGGACTACCTATTCATTCCAGTGCTCAGTCACCCTTACAGTTCCCTGATGATGTTCAGAGAGGATCTCATTTCACAGCTTCTTTCATGTCCATTGCCTCTGGACCTGTCACTGTGCACCACTGAAAGAGTCTATCCACCTTGCACCCTTCTTCTGTTTTACATTGATGAGATATGCCCTGAGTCTGCTTTTCTCCAGGCTCAACAGTCTCAACTCTCATCCTCTCCTCAGAAGCACAGTGCTCAGAAGGAGCTTAGAGACACAAGAATGTAGAACAAGTAAGTGATGATCAGTGTGAGCAGAAGCTGGAGCAGAGCTGAGTGGCTGCAGAGGAAAATATGTCTGTCACTGAAGTATGAACTGAAGGAAAGACAAGACTCCTTTTCCTACCATCAGTACTCTTTCTGCATCTTGCCTGTGAGAAGACAACCATGGATTTACTGAACAAGGAGAAAGAGGGAATATTTAGAGGGTGCACACTTATAGCACACTTTTAGCACCTCTTACAGCACACTCCAGTCATGCTCCTGAAGTCTTCTTGCTGCAGTATGCCTGGACTGATGCGAACTTAAGCAGAAGGCTTTACTGTGAGCAGCATGCACCAGCGAAGGATGTACAGAAGAAACAGCTATATTGAAGCAGAATCTACCTGCAGAAATGCATATTTAGTATGGCCTCAGAATGAAGTCAGTGCATCCAGGCACTGGAAAATATTCACATGTATCAGTTTTTCCACTACTAAAGAACTTTTGCTGGCTTTAACTGCAAAAATATATATATCCTAACAAATTTTATGCTCACAGGAAACCAGTTTTTCACACATGACTAATTTCAGCATGATGAATTGAAGCATATGAGTGCTTTTGGAAACCAGAGGTTTCCCTGAAGCATCTTCTATTTTTGTTTTTTTCCAGGAGAAAGCAGTGGATATGCATTCTCTATGGTGTTTACACCGGCAAATCCCTCCAGAATGAGGAAAATATACTCCCCAAAACTTTATATCCCTTCCAAAGCCAGTCATAGGCTTCACTCTGACCTCAATATTAAGGCCTTATGCTCTGAGTAGATTGCAAAGTTTATGTTGGTATTATTGGAAGTATCATCTATAAATCCCAGTTCATTGCAGTAAGAATATACTACTTCAGAGGTCCTATTTTACAGGGACTTGAAAATCTGGTACCTGACAACCCACTATTGAAGCCAGTTACACTCTATTCATGGGTCATTTACTGTAAAACCAGTTTAAGAATATATAAGTAAGCCTGTACAAAAAAAAAACCAAACAAAAAAACCAAAAAACCGGGCTCTTAGGCTCAACAGTTTCTCGGTCCTTTCATATTGGTCCAACAAATTTCTTAACTACAGTAAAAAATAACATCCTGTAAACTCAGATTACAGCAAAGTCAATACCTAAAAACTATTTAAATTATCCAGATTCCATGCACTGTTTTTAACTTAAACTAGATATGAGAAAAATAGTCATGACAGCTAGAATAGAACTTTTCTTGGTACACCACTGTGTGTTAAAACACCCCCGTCTTTATGGTACTTTGATAATGTATAACATATTATCAAATGCTAACTTCATGCTTTTACTCATCAACAATACAAGAAATCATGCCACTTGGAAGGTAAAAAATATATTAAATACAACAGGTGAAGGTTACTTTTGCTTGAGGAAGAGCAAAGTGTGCTTTTCAGTCCACAAATCCAATGATTCTCTCAACAAAGATGAAGAGGAACATTACTAACAATAATGACCTCTCTCAAACTCAACCAAAAAGCAAAAGAATCCTTTTTAAAAAAAATTCCTGCCCCAAATTCCTTTAATTTCATAACTTTGAAAAATCACTCACAGCAGCAAAACTGTGTTTTAATTTACCTTGATTTTGTTACACTGTCTCTGTGACTGCTGCAAATAATTGTCTCCCAGTTGCAAAATCCTACAAAAAATATACCCTCTGGTAGGTATTGTTCAATAGAATGACGTTCCTGGAATTGCTTGCAAATCTCACTATAGAACTTGACTTTGATCTCCCTTTAACAGTCAGATTTTGACGGGCTTTGACAATGCCATTTCACTTAGTTTTGCCCAGAAGTTAATAAAATACTTGACATTATGGATATTTTGCAAGTGGAGTAAGAAATCTGCTTCAAGGGAGCAAAGCTGAAGAGAAAACAGTCTGGTTTCCTTTCCACTAGCACCTCTTGCCCCACTGTATGAGTTGCCAGGTGCAGATTGTTCTGAGAGTGCAACAGAGGGGCAGGTGGCCTTCTCTTACTCTCTACCTTTGTGTGTGAGCAAGGAAGTTCATTGGTGCCTGCCCTTCTCTGTCCGCAGTTGTTTGTTTCTCCCTACAGGAAGGAGAAGATGAAGTCCTGGCATTTTGCTCCTCACTGCTGAGAGGTGATGAGGTGCCCCAGAGATGCAGATTCCCTCCTGGGGACGAGCACCTGCAGTCATTTTCCCTAGAACAGGCCAAAATGGTACTGTCCTTACTATCAGCTTTATTTTGAGAGACACAGCAAACCTTTACTACAACGTTTTGAAGAGGAAGAGTAACATATAGAAACACTTAGCAACAACAGTCTTCAGCCACTAGCAGTAGCAACGGGTGTCAGCATTTACCCGAGGAGCTGAACTTCTGGCAGGACAATGGCCACGTACTTCTAGTTATGGGCAAATTTTCTAGAACAAGATGGATCACACCACATTTAAAAGGCTTAGGCTCCTGCTCTCGAGCAGACCCTTTGGTTTGCCTTTGGGTTGCCTGGAATCAAATACTTCACAGCACTCAAAAGCTAAGAAATGCAGCTGTAGCTCTCCTGACAGCACTGAACAGTTCCCCCAAGCAGCACTTGGTGGTCGTTTCCTCAAAAGCAGCTTGTTCTTTGCTCGTTATTACTTCAACAACAGAACTCTTCTCCCTTGATTTATTACTCTCCGGGAATATCTGCACAGAAAATCCCTCTCGGGTGGTCACGGCACCACCGGAAAGGTTGACTCCTCGGCTTTGGGGCTCCGGGCACTCTGAGCACAACTCCCGGCGAAGCTGAGCCGTGCTGAGCGGAGCCGGGCAAACGCCGCGGCGGCCTCGGCGGTGGGACACATCTCCTCAAGTCCCGCCGACCGGAGCGGGAGAACGCCCGGAAAGTGTCAGCGCTCGACGCTGTCGTGCCCCAGCTTCGAGCACCCTGTAGCAGGGGGCAGCTCCTGGGGTAGTCCCGACAGCCCCTGACCCTCCCGGCTTTCCCTTACCTTTTTCCCAGACCCGTTCATCCTCCAAGGAGCGGAAGGGAGCGACCCCGGAGAGCTGGCGCTGCTGCCCAGGTGAGCAGTGCTGGCACGGCGGCCGCTGCCACCTTTTTCAGGGCCGGCCCGCCCCCGCCACCGCCCCGCGCCCGGCCCCGCTCTGCTGGAAGCGCTCCAGGAAGACGAGATTCTCCTCCGAGCCTCCCGTGAGGAAGGAGCTCAGAAAGGCTTCCCCGAGTTACCCGCCCCACGGGCCTCCTCTCTTGTCCCTGCACTGGATCATTGTTCGCCCTGATCGGGAACATTTACTAATGGGGTAAAGCGTCCGGGGAAAGTACAGCCAGCCAGGTGCTCTGAGGCTAGCATGATTCGCATGGCTAAGAGTTACACAGCTCTCTTTGAGACAGAGTTGTAAATCCACGTGCAGAACTGATAGCTTGCTGCTGGTGCTCTTCAGGATTCTCCAGTAAAACTCAGCCTCACACTCAAGAAGAAGGGACACAAATTGCCTGGAGTTGAGAAGGAGTAGAATAGCCATGATCTGGAGCAAATCTAAACTGCCAGAGGTGGGACTGAAAACATATTTCAAACATGTATATTAATCTTTGAGATATCCTAGTATACAGCATGCATGAGGTAGGTGGAGAGCATCATCTTGGGAATGACATCTTTGGGTTTGACTCTTTCACTTTATTACTCTTCCCCCCATGCCTTAAAAATGCTAATGTCTGCTTTTCCATTTGACATACTGCTGTTTCTACAGAGCTCATTAATATAGTCAATGCTTTGTAAAGGTACTCAAGGCCTCAATGAGGGAACTCTATAAGATACTCAGACAACACCATAAAAACAATCTCTACCCCAAAAAAGTCAAAGGCTTGCATACAAGGCAGTGGAGAGCATGTGCATATCACAATAGCAGAGCAACATTAAGGATGACTGGGAGCTTTGGGACAAATAGTGGTCAAGTCACAGCAACTGTCTAACCAAAATCACCAAAACCCTCAACTACTACACAAAATAAACCCAACACACTAAACCTGTACAGAAAATTAGTTCTAGACAGAAGAAACAGAACCAGCATTGATCAGCAGGTTATGTCAGATTAAGACTAGGGACTGTGAAGATCTGCCCTATTTCTAGTGAAAAAGACACACAGTCAGCAAATACAATCTTTGAGCTCCCCAGAAATGCTAGACAGTGCACATATTGAAATGTCCTCAAAAGCAGGTCAGAACATCCCCCTTTTTGTGGCCATACATCTGCAAGAGCTGTTGTCTGGGAGCTCATGTGACAGAGGCCTTGAAATTCTCTCAAGGTCTTTGTCCTGCACGGATGAGCTGGGTGGGAGGTTAGCTACAGCCTCAGCTGCACACAGCCATATTCTTGGATACTTGGTACTGGAGCCATGATGTGGTCTCAGAGGAGACATAACCTTCTTTCTTCAGAACCTCTGCACAAGCACCAGGTACCAGTCAGCCAACTGGAAATCTCAGAATCAACTTAGCTCAGTTATTTCCAGTAACTGTCAGGGAAGAAAGCATCACAGTCTGCCCTGGTACCCTGCTTCCCCAGGTGGACAAATTAGGGATTAATTAATTAATCTTGTCATTCTGTGCAGCCATGCTGTCTTTGCAATAAAAACCCAGAAGTATCTTACCCAGCCATGGCATCACAATAAGGGCAGAGTGCTCATATGGACACAGGGGCTCCAAGGGCCCCCAGCATGAAGTTTTGGATACAGCAACATAGACTTTTTGCAGTTTCCTCACAGTCTTTTCCTTGCATTTCTCCTTCATTATTTTTTAATGCAGTCCTTATACACCAGCTAGAATTTAATCTCTCCATAGGTTTTCAGACCATCACAAGAACAAACAGAAAAAAATATCATTAAGGGTTGATGTTAGGAGCAGAAGTAAACAGATATCTAACAATACTGTCTAGTAGAGCAGTAGAGCACAGCTGGATGAACAGGACACTGCCTGACAGAGATTCATCATGTCAGGCATGCTCAGAAAAGTATTGCTTGTGGCTAAGAAGGAACAATTTTTTCAGAGAGCAAATGTCATTCAGTAATAGTAGTAGTAGTAGTAGTAGTAGTACTACTACTACTACTACTACTACTACTACTACTACTACTACTACTAATTTTAATAAATAGCAACAATAGTTACAGATTTACATTCCTGGACAATTCACTGCCATTTTATATAAAATATGAAGGTGACAAAGCTGTGGGCTTTATGCTGCTTTTTAGATGGCTGGTTCTTGGGCAGTCCCAGTTCATCTTCTTCAGCCTGGACTTGGGGGATGAAATAGAACTGCTGCTCACTTGAGAGTGAGGGGTGTCGGTTCAAAGAGTTTCCAGCAGACTTCAGACGGTCCTGATAGTATTTGACTTTGACAGGACTGCTAACAAGAGTGAAAGGCTACAGCATACTTTGCTAATCCTCTTATCTATAGGCTTCAGAATGTATCAATTATTCAATTTGCCATAGTTAACCTTTCACAGTGTAATCTTTGTATGCAGTCAATTCCATAATATTTTAAGTACCTATCAGCTGATGTTATAAATTGCATCAGTTAATATATACAGTAGCTTCTTTTCTTGCCCTGGAGTGGTTCATTGGTTGATAGACAATCCATTTTTTGTTACACATGTCGTCAAATGGAACTATTTTACATTCTTATGAATAAAAAAAAGTAATTAAATATAAAAATAGTATAGAAATAGCACAGCAAAATTTGTAAACTACAACCTAGAAAGCCAGAAACATCACACAAGGCAAATACTCATGAGGGATATTACCTGTCTCTAGATTTAGTGCAAATCAGAAGAGAACACTACACAACACTGAAGAAGAACTACAAATAGTGAAATGCCCAATTCAAGGAGCCAGACCAGCAAAATAAAGTATTCTAAGATATTTTTGTCTAGAATAGGGAACAAACATTTCACTACATATTTCAGATGAGCTTTTCTTACTTTCAAGTATATTTAGGACACCTAAGGACAGGTCCTTTGGTCAGCATGAGGACATTGTTTTGTTCTATCATTAAGCATCACTGGTGGATCATATGATCCACTCCTGGTTCTGTAGTAAGCCATACTACTAATAGAATCAGATGAAGGAGACATTCTCTAATTGGGAAACAGTTTAAAGGAATTCAGTAATTCCTCACTTGCACCATATTCTTAAAAAAAAAAAAAAAGGAATTGCAGAAAAAACTCATATTAAAAGTAGTGTAAAATAAAAAATCTTCTCTAGCTCAGGCAAAGTTCTCTGTACTTTTTACTGTGTCCCACAAATGAACAGTAAGTAATAGCTTTGGGAATTTGCTGTTGAGTATTCACTGACATAAATTTTGCTATAAAATAGTATTAGGAGTATTCATCTTAGCCATTGTAGGGAAATTCTTCTTCTCATTTTGGCAGGCTGTGTACTTACTGAGAATATCTTCCATCCTGGAAAGACATGAACATGGCTTTCAAGAGCTACAAATACTTGGCAAAATCCTGTTACTTGGCTAGGGCACAAAAGAAGGAAGCAGCATGAATCACTCTGTGCCTGTAATCTCTCAGGGTAACGCTTCAAACACACAAACATGAATTCACTATTTTAGAGCACTCCACAGCAGGACCATGTTGTAAGCAATCCTTTGTCAAAGATGATTATTACATCACAGACTATGTACTTGTGTGACACCCATGCATGGATAGACAGGCACAGGGCTCATGCCAGGGTAACTATGATGAATACAAACTTCATGTGAGTCACTGACTCTTTAAAAACTCATCAGTTCTGGGGCAAAAAACAATATACCTGTGCAAAATGTGTGTTAATACTATGGTTACAAATGAATGCTTCTGCACCTGCTAGAATACAAATATTTTAACAGGTACATTTGAAAACTCTTCAATGTTATTGCTTAAAACACTACCCAGCTCATTGTGCAGAAATAAGCTAATTTTTTCATCTCTTTGCAATAATGCAATGAACATACACAAATACAATTGGTTCTAAACAACTAATGAGACAGACACAGCAAAATGAATAATTTCTGTTGCATGTTATAATGTCTAACGCAGAACCATTGCACCAAAAAATAGTGTTTACAGATGTGCAAGTCATGGGTTTCTACAAATAAATACAATTTAGAAAGTCTGACTCTCTTTTTGGCATTTTTGCTTTCTATTTTACATTTAGATGAATTAGTGTAGCACACAAAAGACTGAGCTACTCTAGGAATGTCTAAAGTGATTTAATCTTAGAAATACAGTGAAGGCTCCTTAGGTCCAGCAGTTGGCAGGGAAAAAAGCAACCAAACCATTCTATTTCATGTAACATTAAAATTGCATATCCTTTGCATACAGTAGTCTCAGGGTATCTACGTATCTACATATTAGTTGTAGTTATGTCAGGCTTGGACAAAAACAATTTCCAGAGCAGGAATTGTAAACACTTCAAAAGCAACACTTCCAAAAAAAAAAAAAATCAAACCCAACAAAACCCCATAAAGAGCATAATAAAGCATAGTAATTTGTGAAGGATCTGGTGGTGGCAAAACCCCACGTTTCTCTCTGAGCTGCACAGTCCTTAGTACAACAGCTGCAATCTGTTTATTTCCACAAGCAATGAAGATGACTTGTGTTGCCCTTCAAGAAGCATCCAAGCAGCGTCTTCACTACCTTCTTCCCAGCTGTGGTAGTAGGCGGATTAAAAACATACCTACACAAAAGGCACAGAAGTCCTTTGCACATGGCAAATGAGAGCATAAAAAGCTGTGGTGTGTTCAAGGCATAATGCTCTAAGGGCAGCAACAAAGAGGTGCAGCTACCCCTTTGCGCCTCATTCCTG